CGTGCCCACAGAGAGGGCTCTGAGTGCCTCCTCTGGCATGCGTGCCATAGGTTCGCCATCACTGGGTTATAGGCTTTACTTCTTGAAAAGCATCGCCTTTGTCTTCTTGTCTATCAGAACAACTTGTCGACTGCCAAGAAAAATCCCTTTACCAGTGTTTGTAGGATAGTCCAGAATTAGCTGCCTAAGGTGCAAGATGTCTGGCTGAGTACCAAGGCGGACAAAGTATAGGGATATACTGATGAAAACAACTTGAAATGGTTCTGCGAAGGCCTTTACAATGTCTACAGATGTCACTCTCAGGAGTTTGCCCCTCCTCAGTAAAAGGTAAAACTCATTACAGGTAGTCCTCGATTTACAACCCCAATTGAGCCCAACATTTCTGTTGCTAAGTGAAACATGTTAAGTGACTTTTGCCCCATTTTACAACCCACAGTTGTTAAGTGAATCACTGCAGTGGTTAAAGTAGTAACATGGTTGTTAAGTGAATCTGGCCTCGCCATTGACTTTGCTTGTCAGACGGTCGTAAATGCTGATCACATGATCCCGGGATACTGCAACTGTCATAAATATGAGTCAATTTCCAAGTGTTCAAATTTTGATAACGTGACCAGGGGGATGCTGCAATGGTTGTAACTGAAAAACGGTTATAAGTCACTTTTTTTAGTGCCGTTGTAACTTTGAATGGTCACTAAACGAACTGTTGGAAGTTGAGGTTTACCTGTGTAGACAGACGGCTCAGATCCTGCAGAGATGAGCTGAACACTAGAACCATCCTCAGCTGACTGTCTACTAACAGTGATGTGATAGACAGGATTCCCAAGGTTGACGTCAACAGCTCCATGGATGACCTACAGTAGTAACTGAAGTTACAGAAGTGTCAGCCAGCTTTCCATTGACAAACACCACACCTGCAGAGGTATACAAGGTCAGTGGTCCTCTATTTATAGAGAAAACCACTGAGATATTTGAGAATTTGGAAGCAAGGACCCATTCCTCAGGAAGTTAAAGATGCATCCATTGTACACTTCTACAAGAGGAAAGGCAATTGACAAGTATGTGACAACCACTGAGGAATCTTGCTGCTCTGCAGAGGCTGTGTTGCCACTCGCCAACATCGGGAGCAGAATTGTGAATTCTATACAACTTTTTGTTGGTCTCATGAAAGCCTTTAATACTGTCAGCTGCCAAGGCTGTGGAGGATTATGGCAGAGTTTAGCAGCCCTACCATATTTATTCAGATACAAGTAGTCCTCAATTTGTGACCAGTTGCTTAGCGGCCATTTGAAATTCTAACTGACCAATCTGGGGGTTACTTGATTCAAAGTTTTGACAGTTCTCTTCCCTCCCTCCCCTCCCTAAAGTTCTTTCTAGAGCAGGGGTCTTCAAACTTGGCAACTTTAAGACTTGTGGAGGCTGGCTGAGGAATTCTGGGAGTTGAAGTCCACAAGTCTTAAAGTTGCCAAGTTTGAAGACCCCTGCTCTAGAGCAAGAATGTCGAACCTTGGCAACTTTTAAGACTTGTGGACTTCAGCTCCCAGTATACCTCAGCCAGCCCAGGCTGGCTGGGGAATTCTGGCAGTTGAAGTCCACGAGTCTCAAAATTGCCACGGTTGGACATCCCCTGGTCTAGAGCAAATCTACCACCAGGTCTACATACTGCTGATGAGCCAATGGGCAGGTCACATCATGCCAAATTAGGGCATACTCAAGCAACTCCTTTTTTGAGGAACTCTCTTGCTCACCTGGAGGGCAGGCAGAAAGTAACAAAGATACAATAAAGGCTTCCCTGAAGTTTATTTATTTATTTATTTATTTATTATTCGAATTTATATCCCGCCCTTCTCCTTGCGGACTCAGGGCGGCTGACAATCAATTAAAAACACCAATAACAATCACAAAGTTAAAATTAATTAAAATGAAATATTTAAATTTGTCTGATTAAAATATGATTAAAAACCCCTCTAAAAACCCCTCTTAAAAATTATCCTAGGCCAGTCCCGCTTGTTGGAACAGCCATGTCTTGAGTTCTTTGACATAGACCCACCCACACCCAGAAACACAAATTCATTCTACCTGGCATGGCCTCATCCATAATAGCTGTCAAGCTTATGAAGTGAAGTGCACTGTGGTAGCACAATATAACATCAGCTGCACAGGTCTAGAGCCACCAGTGCAACAACTACAGCGTCTACACATGTTTGCCCAACATGTGCCAGGACATTGTGCCCTAATTAACCTGACCAGTCAACTTTGGACGCCCCATACTTTATGTGATTAATGGTGTTGAAGTCTTTATTGGTAACAATGCACAAACAACAACTGAACACTGATCATGAACTGGCTTTCCTTCGCTAACATGTTTTAGGAAAATAATGTTACAGTGATTATTACTATTAATTAATGTTCCTACTGCTTTATTACCGTATTTACAGCTAGTCCTCAACTTAGAACTGTTCATTTAGTGACTGTTTGAAGTTAAAACGGCACTGAAAAAAACGGTTTATGACCATTTTTCACACGACCATTGTAGCATCTCCATGGTCATGTGATCAAAATTCAGATGCTCGGCAACTGACTCACATTTATGACCGTTGCAGTGTCTCAGAATCATGTGATCACCTTTTGTGACCTTCTGACAAAGTCAGTTGGGAAGCCAGATTAACTTAACCATGTTACTAACTTAACAACTGCAGTGGTACATTGAAGAACTGGCAAGAAAGGTTGTAAAATGGGCCAAATTCACTTAACTGTCTCACTTGGCAAAAAAAAATAATATATTGCTCAGTTGTGGTCGTAAGTCAAGGGCTACTTGTATTTAGTAGATTTAGGGCCACCATTTTAAACTAGTTTGGGCACTTACAACAAATGCTTCAGTACCATCCAATAATATATATTCTCTTTTTTATTCAGTCCTTTTAAAACAGTTACAGCTTAGTGACTTATGTTTTTTGGTGCATAAACTATTTAACCTTTGACCTGAAGTGTGGACCATGATAGAGGGATCTGTGCACTAGCAAGGCCCCAGGGGCTCAAGAATATATAGCCTATTCATCATTAGAAATTCTGTTCGCATCTTGGTTTGAAGTTTGGGTAGACTTTTTTGGGATTTCATAGATTACAAATCAGGGATGTAAAATTGATGGGAAATACTGATTCTGGGCCATCTATATAAGCATATGAATCGCTTCCCGTTCTCTTCATATAATTAGATATTTAATTGCTATTTAGAATGAGGTATAGCTCTCTTTTGCATCAGTGTTCTTTTAAACTTTTCATTCTGTCTTAATGAAAAGAAAACTCCATCTAAAACATCCTTGCTCTCCAGTTCATGCATAGTTTTCTTGTTAATTATACTGAAACAAGGGCTTCCAATTACAAGAGGCTACTAATTCTTCCTTGCTGGAATGAGCAGGTGAGCTTTATAATTAAAAGTTTAAGGTTGCATGTGGATATTTACGCGTCTTACAAGATGTGAGGTACAATTTAATAGGTAAAAAGGGCTCCCTGGGGTTTGGAGGTGGTAATCGTTTAAAAGTAAGCTGTTCATAAATAAATTTTGCCTTCCACATATAGGTGGTCCTTGACTTAGAACCATAATTGAGCCTGGAATTATGGCTGTCGGTCCTGCTGGTTGTTAAGTGGGTTGCCACATGATGGCACCTGATTTTACAACCTTTTTTTGAGGCAGTTGTTAAGCAAATGCAGTGTAAAGTGAATGCCACTATTGTTAAGGAAATCCATTGTCTGCAATGGGTGGGGTTTTTTGCTGGAAACCAGAAGTAAATACTGATTTCTAGCAAAAAAAATCGTAAAACCTGATCATGTTTTGGGTCCCTGCAAATGGCTGGTTGCCAAATGCTCAAAATGTGACTGTGGGAGGGGCAGCCATCAGAACACTGAATCTGGGGAGGTCTGTCATAACTTCGAACGGTCACTAAGTGACCAGTGGTAAATTGAGGACCACCTGTATCAGGCATATTGCTGCCGAGTGTTGGTAGGAAAAAGTGCACATTGGAAACGGATGTCCCCTATTTCATGAGTTATTTGGAACTACTAGATGGAAAACCCAAATAAACTTGAGAAATGGCCATGCATTTTGCTGCTTCGATGGGCTGGATCAAGGTTTCAAAAGTGAAGCACTCTGATTCTTAATCCAAAATGACAAACGTGTGGGAGGCAACATTTTTCCTAACATACTTAAAGAAATGCAACTCTGGGATAAGATGAGAAAGTGGTCTTCTGACTGGGATATGATGATGCTGAAATGGAGCCTTTCTCTCTCTCTCTCTCTCCCTCCCTCCCTCTCCCCCCCTCTCATTTTCTGCCCCTCTTTCTCTCTCTGTCTATTTTCTTGCATTTGCAGTAGACAGTTGGAGTTGAGAGTGTACTCTTGACAGAGAGTCAATTTCTGAATTTAAGGTTGCAGGCTGCCTATTCCTATCTTAGATAGACAAGGAACCCAGGAGCAAGTATTTCCAGGTATCTGTTGTAATAAGTGAGTGTTATTTCTATTGAAACGGTTTCTTTTTTCTCCCATCTAGTGGTGGAGGCTCTGGAATCTGTTGGTCTCACTTAATGTTTTTCCTTTTTATTCCTGAGTCAGCCGTAACTCCTTCAAAAGTTGTAATGGACAAATCCACATCCTAAAGAGGGTGCATATGAATAAAGATAAAATGAAACATTTACTCGAAAAGATATTTTAAAAGTATGCTTTGATCATTTAGATCAAAGTCTATACATTTGAATTATTAAAATGTAGATTTAAAAAAAATCTGTACAAGCTTTGCTTTCATAAGTATTCTTTGAAGAAGACATTGCTTGCCAAAATCTATTCAGGCCAGAGTAAAGATATTACAGTGTCATGGAAAGTTGTCTTTCTTTTGTGTCAGTGCTGTTTGGAGCATTTTGACCCCTGCTGTATCCAGTAAGATATTCTTTTAGATAAGATGCACATCCTTTCTTTTATTCTCCCATCTCTCTCAATTTCTCTCTTTCAGAATTCCAATGTTGAAAACCTGCCTCCACATGTGATCCGGCTGGTCTACAAGGAAGTCTCCACTCTAACATCAGATCCACCCGAGGGCATCAAGGTGTTCCCCAATGAGGAGGACATTACAGATGTGCAGGTCACCATTGAAGGACCTGGTAAGAGAGGGTTACTTGAAGAGGGTTCATCTTTGGGAATTTCTTCTAAGTGGTGCATCTCAAGATTGAACTGTAGGTGATTATGCTGCTCTAGTCAAAGAATCATACTGGAGAGAGCAGCCCATCTTGAATTATTGGTCAATAGGAAGGAAAAAGTTGGATGTTGGAAATGTGAGCCTTACTCAAGAAGATATTCCTCATACAGATAGCCCTTCAGTTTTTGACTATAATGGAGCCTGGCCATCGTGGTTGTAACCCATGCTGATTGTAAAGGGAGTCAGTCACATAGCAAACATGATTTTACTTTCTTTTTTGTGGCAGCCGCTAAGCAAATCCATGGTCGTTACGTGAATGCCACAGTCATTAAGTGAACCATTGGTTCACTGTTGGTTTTGCTAAAAACCGGAAGTGCTGGTTTTTGGCAAAGCTGCTCTAAAAGGTGGTCATGTGATCCCAGGATATGGTCTGGTTGCCGAGTGCCCAAAGTGTAGTCCTGTGACCAGGGGGAGCAGCCATTGGGACTTCAAATGCAGGTCGTAAGTATCCCCTAGGTAGGTTCATCGGAACTGCTCATAAGTCGAGGACTACCTGTAGTGATAAGGATCCCCCCTTTTTCTTCTTCTTCCCTTTGTAGAAGGTACTCCTTACTCTGGTGGCCTCTTCCGCATGAAGCTGATTCTTGGCAAAGACTTCCCTGCCAGTCCACCAAAAGGCTACTTCCTGACCAAAATCTTCCACCCCAACGTGGGTGCCAATGGGGAGATCTGTGTCAACGTGCTCAAGAAAGACTGGAAAGCAGAACTGGGCATCCGACATGTCCTGCTGGTAGGTAGTGTTTTTAACTGGGTAGATCCCAGGATGGTAGATAGTGGACCCCCAAAGTGGTTATTTTATTCTTCTTCTTAGGCCTGTGCAGAAACCCACAGGACTACATGTACATGTAGTCCTCAATTTACTATCATAATTTAACCCAGAATTATGTGCCAGTCGTTAAGTGGGCCATTATGTGACCAATCTGATTTTAGGACACTTTGTGGTGGTCGTTAAGTGAATCACCATGGTCATTAAATGAACCCATTGTCCCAATAAATGCTGGTGTTCAGCAAAAAATGGTAAATTGTCCCATGACTGCGTCATGCTGCAAACACTTGTAAATGTGGACCAGTTGCTCTGTGCCCAAAATCTATCTATCTATCTATCTATCTATCTATCTATCTATCTATCTATCTATCTATCTATCTATCTATCTATCTATCTATCTATCTATCTATCTATCTATCTATCTTTATTATTATTATTATTATTATTATTATTATTATTATTATTATTATTATTATTATTATTATTATTATTATTATTATTATTATTATTATTATTATTATTATTATTATACCAGTGAATGTACCTGCCTGGCCTAAAGTCCCCAAACTGGCTCTCAGTGTGCCAGCAAATTTTACACAAAAATATCACAGTATCTGTCCGTGTATCTATCTACTCAAAACAAAGTGGATCATGCAGCAAGACAGTGACCCCAAAGCATGTAGTCTCATATAGTCAGAGTTAAAAGATGTATAAAGTAAATAGTTTGGAAAGTCTTGGCCTTATTTGTTTGTTGTTTAGTAAATTTATCTGACTAGCCCTCTTGTATACATGACTCTGGATGGCTAACAATTAAAATCAATAGAAACAAAGCAAATAGCGACCAATGATATAAAACCTAAGTAACATAATCCTATAGAAATGTGGAAGGATTTGAAGCATGGAGTTCATATGAAGATTCCCACAAACATCCCTAACTTGAAGTGTTCTGTAAGGAGGAATGGGCTAAAATTCCTTCAAACAAACGTGCAGGACAGTTACTGAAAACATTTAACTGCAGTTATTGGTGCTCAAGGGGACCACATTACTGAAAGAAAGGTTCACCAACTTTTGCCACGCACCAAAATGTAGCTTTGAATTATTTTTATGAATAAATAAATGGACAAGTACTGTTTGGATATTTGTTTAGCTGGGTTTTCTTTTATCTAGTTTTATAATTTGCGTGGAGAACAGCATATTTTAGGTCATACTTACGTAGAAATAAATGAAAATTCAAAAGGGCTTGCAAATGTTTTAATGTGTAAATGTGTGACTTTCTTCAAAATAGCTCATGGAAAGATTTGGAATGAGCTGCTGAGTTACAATGGTTCATTTAGTGACTGCTCAAAGTTACAATGGCACTGAAAAAAGTGTCTTATAGCAATAGCACTTAGGCTTATATACCGCTTCATAGTGCTTTACAGCCCTCTCTAAGCGGTTTACAGAGTCAGCCTATTGGCCCCAACAATCTGGTCCTCATTCTACCGACTTCGGAATGATGGAAGGCCGAGTCAACCTTGAGCTGGTAAGAATCAAACTGCTGGCAGCTGGCAGTCAACAGAAGTAGCCTAGAGTAGACTTACGCCAGTTTTTCACACTTACAACCATGGCAGCATCCCCACGGTCACGTGATCAAAATTCAGATGCTTGCCAACTCATGTTTATGATGGTTGCAGTGTTCTGGGATCACGTGATCCCTTTTGCAACCTTCTGAAAAGCAAAGTCAATGGGGAAGCCAGATTCACTTAACAACCATGTTACTAACGTAACTGCAGTGATTCACTTAACAACATAAAATGGGGCAGAATTCACTTAACAACTATCTCACCAAGTAACAGAAATATTGGGCTCAGTTGTGGTCGTAAGTCAAGGACTACACCTATATTTTTATTTTTTTCAAAAATGTATAGCAGAATGTCCTTTTTATTCAGGGAGTTTCAGGAGGCAGAAATGATATTCTGCTTTGCCCACTTTGTTTCCAGATGAAAAAGCAGAGAATGGGTGTTCAGTATTTACACACAGCTATGTCGAAGAAATAAAAAAGGACAAGGTTGCATGCAGAAAGCATTTTAGTTAAGAGACTTTGTATTATTGGATTAATTTATAAGATGTATTCTGGTTAATTTCTATGCTGGTTTGGTGCAGCTTTGACTTTAAGAAGAGTAAGTGGTCTTACACATCAAAAAATGGTGCTTCCGAGCTTTGGTAATATGTAGATATGTTTGCATTTAATTAAACACTTAAAAGGCACATGAATAATCAACTATAAATTTGGAAGTCATTTGTAAACTGCCAGGCATCCCTGGAGATTCAGTGGTATACAAATGTAATAAATAAAGGAAAATCAATAGTCATTGGTGAACTCCATTAAGAACAGCCAACACAGTTTGCAAAGCTTAATTCCTCATTTTTCCTATTGCCAGTGTGCAGCAAGAGGGGGGATTTGAAAAGGTGTATTTTGTCCTTGTCCAGCTTTTCTCCTGCTTCTTCCAGCACACCTTTCCAAGTCCTGCGATTTCAGTTCTAAAGTCCCGGAGCTGAATCCGAAACATGGCTTGGGGCCATGGGGTGGTGCCTCTGTCTGCAAAAAGGGAATGTATGACCACCGAAGGCTTGGATTCAAATTTCTGGATTGGAAACAGTAGTGTAGTTGTAGAAGTCATGGTGCTCCTCACACTTGATAAGGCAAGAGAGATAGAGGGCTGGTTTGAAACCAGTCAGAACTGAAGAAGCTTCTTGGATGAGAAGTGAAACGTCTTCTAGGAAAAAAACAAAGTCCAGTTGCCTTTTGAATAAGCACCTTTGGGACAACTGTGACCTGGATGACTGGGAATCTCCATAGACATTTAGCTGGTTTGAAAAGCTTTCCATTGATTGAGTCTTCTGGATAAAAGGAAGCTAACAGGTCAAAGAGTCTCCGAGGATGGGGTGAAAACTGCACGATCGTGGGCACAGTGTTGTGTCTGAAGCCCTGCCCTTTGTGTATATGTGTACATTACAGATTTTTTTTCAAAGGGACAGAGGTTTGATCACAATGTTTCACCTGCCATCTTGCAGACTTTGACTCTTCCCACCACTGATGCCTCTGTGTGTGGGCTTAACTCCTTAGCTATTGATCTACCATGTTAGCTCTGATTTCAGAAGTGAAGTATACTTTCCTCACAAACAGAGATCGATTTGGAAAGGTAATGCGCTTGTGAAAATGGGCTGTCTTGTTCCTAGTTCTGTTTTTATTCTGCAGAACCAAAAGACAGTGGGAGCTAAAAAGTTGAATGTTTTATCTTTTTAACTATTGATTTTTATTATTTGCATGGGGGAAACTGTTTTATAGGGGGAATGGAAACATTTTAAATGTAAAATTGTGTACCCTTTTTAAAAAAATATAGTCAAGCAATCGGATTGCATTACTGTACATGGCTGTGTGTCCAGTTATGCTACTGAGATAAACCTTGTTCCAAGAGAACAAAATGGAGTAACAAATAATATGCCATAGAAATTTAAGGCTATGAGATGGAGAAAAAACATACAGCTAAATGTATTTTATACCAATACATCTCCATGCTATTTTATCTTTGAAAATCACTACATCCATACAGTGCTTTATACGTTGCCTTAAACCTCCCAGCTTTGTCTTTTTAGAGCTCTTATCGACTCCTTTTAGCTATGACTTCCTTAAACTTTCTTTTCCTCTCCACTCAAACTTCCTTCATGTACATTGGGATCTTGATACTCAGCTGCTTTGAAACATCAAATTTGGTACTCAACGCATTTTGATGTGAAAATTTTATCCCAGAACTCATTGTTTGTTTGGTACTCAATGCTCAAGCTAGAACTTGTCAGTGTTGGCTGCCTTGTGACTCACTACATTATTCCTTTATGGGGAAAATGTGTTTGGTATGTATAGTTTTTGGTAGTCACGGCACCTCCGGAACCAATTAATGATGAGTACCAAAGTACCACTGTACATTTTGTGATTTCATCTTCATTCCTCCTGTATCACTAAACCAGTTCAGTGTACTTCATTCTTACAGATCACTCCCTTTTGTATTCCGTCCACATCTAGATGCTATCTTGATGCTATCTCTTGATCAACCACATACACACTCCCATTGCATCCAACTTTTATGTTTGTGCGCTTCCGTACAATAAAAATGAGCACAAACGCACTCCAGGCGATCATTTTCACTTCTTTCATCAAACCTTCGTTCCTGGCAACTGGACAGATATACTATCCACTACTTCACTATCAGCATTCAAAAGACTTCACATTTCTCCAACCGTTTCCTCATCTTCAGTAAACATTGCATCAAATTGGGCAAATTCACCTTGCTTGCTCGTGGTTCTTTTTTTTTTTTTTAACCATTTAAGAATAACCTGCAATAATCTGCCTTATTTTTCTTGTCAAACGTAACTGTCTTGGTTTTGGATGCATTGATTTTAGATCAGACTCCTTGGGGTGCCATACAGCTTTCAAGCCTTTGCTGCAGATCAATTGTTCTTAGCCACCCAGGTGGCCTTGTCTGCCAAAAAAGCGCACGTACATCCACACCTGCAACCAGTACGCCTCTAAATGTCGCCATAAGCACTCCTTGTGTATTCATTTATAAACACATTGAGAACTGTAGCTTTATTGCAGTCACTATGATTTGCTGAAAGAGAAAAATCTGGGTTTGCATGTCCCCTGCCCTGTACGTGTAGTTCTCAACTTACAACAGTTCACTTAGTGACTGTTCAAGGTTACAGCGTCACTGAAAAAAGTGACTTGTGACCGTTTTTCACACATAACAACTGTTGTAGATACCGCATGGTCACGTGATCAAAATTCAACGCCTTGCCACTGACTCATGTTAATGACTGTTACAGTGTCCCGGGATCACATGATCACCTTTTGTGATCTTCTGACAAGCAAAGTCAATGGGGAAGCCAGATTCACTTAACAACCGTGCTACTAATTTGACAGCTGCAGTGATTCACTTAACAACAGTGGCAAGAAAGATCACAGTAAAATGGGGCAAAATTCACTTAACCACTGTCTCAACTTAGCAACAGAAATTTTGAGCTCAACTGTGGTTGTAAGTCAAGGACGACCTGTATAAAGCTGCATTGTGCTTCCCCAGTATCTAGAGTTTTGTATTGTTTGTGACCAAAGCCTATTATGTCTCTTCTCCATTCCTTCAGGAGACTGAAGAAAAACCTCTTTGGTGGGGAGGCAGAAGGAAATAAACTCATCAAGGGTGGAAGTTAGTCTAGTCCTTGGAGGGAATGGGAGATTTGCCATGTTTCAACTGGCCCTGAATGTCTGAGTTTTGTCTGATGATTCCTCCCTCTTCCCCAAGGTGCTTTTTCAAAAGGCAACTGGAGTTTGTTTTCCCTTGAAAACATTTTGCTTCTCGTCCAAGAAACTTTTTCATTTCTGACTAACTTCTTTTTTGTGGCAGCCATTAAACGAATCTGTGATCATTATATGAATGCCACAGTCATTCAGTCAGTCAGAATTGGAGAAGCGAAACGTCTTCAAGGAAAAACAAAGTCCAGTTGCCTTTTGAAAAAGCACCTTTGGGGGCAACCGTGACCTGGATGACTGAGAATCTCTGTAGACATTCCTCCCTCTTGTAACTGTGATTTCCTTATTTTGCTCCTGCTCCAGACCATCAAGTGTTTGCTGATCCATCCCAACCCGGAATCCGCCCTGAATGAGGAGGCAGGGCGCCTCCTGCTGGAGAACTATGAGGAGTACGCCTCCCGAGCTCGGCTCCTAACCGAGATTCATGCCCAGCCCTCCTCTGGCTTGCATACCAAGAACCTTGCTGAGCCTTGCTCTTCTTCGGCAGGTGCCTCCGGGGAGGGTCCCATGGCCAAGAAACACGCAGGTGACAGAGACAAGAAACTGGCTTCCAAGAAGAAGACTGACAAGAAGCGAGCTCTCCGGCGGCTTTAGGGGATGGGGGGTGGTTGAGGGTGTGAAACAGGCACGTTGTGGGCATTGGGGGTTCCATAGTACATTTTCAATTTCTCCTCTTTTCCTCTGCCATCTTCACTTTGAGACTGCAGTCCAACCTTGTCTTACCCTTGTCGGATTTTTCTTCTTTTCAGTCTTTAAGTTATTTAAATTATAAAAGCAGGAAAATCTATTAAATGCCTTTGTTTTCTAAGGAAGGCTCTTAATGTACGGTTGTGCCATCATATGAAACTGGGTGGGGGAGCATGTTGAGGGTACCTGGTTCCCCTCCTTAAAATGAAGGCCTTCTGGAAGACCAAAAAGGCAGAACTCAGTTGAGGTGGGAAGAGGTACCTTTGCTTTTTGGAAGAAGATTGAAAAAAAGCTGCTGTTTTCATTTTAAGGGAAGAAAACACCAAGGAGGGGAATTGGTATGGTTTATAAAACTACAAAGGAAGGGTACCATGACTTCTTAGAGTTCAGTGTCACTTTATAAAATTGCTTCATATAAGAAAAGGAAAATATTTCTTCACATAATACCTGAATCAGAAGTTTGTTGTTGCCATGCTTTTCAGACGTGGACGTGAGGCCAGGTATCTATATAGAGGGGAGAATTATGTGTCTTAGCGACAGATCAAAATGAGACTCTTACGTTTAGGGGATGTGTAGATCTAGATGTTCAGGTAAGGGAAAGCTGGAATGATTGTTCTGGGAAACATCTGTTTGGCTGTATGGCAGCTTGCTGGAACTGAGCTCTCTCAGTTTGTTGAAGGGTAAGTTCATGCATTTAAAACATGGGTGTCCTAAGCAAAGAAGATGGTCCTCTGGGTCATTTTAGTGCAGGTGATTTTTATGATAACCCTCAGAGGGGCTTTCTGAGAAATGGCTGGCCAGAATTTCACACTTAAACATTAACTTGCAATGATTTAAGATAATTTGAGAACTTGCTGGCCACAGAGGTGCAGTTCTGTGCCAGAGGTTCAGGACAAGATGAGCAGATAGGCCTATAAAACAATTGATGTTCCTATTTGCCCCATCCAGTCAGCACTGAACAACATCAGGTAATGTATTCTGCTTGGAAATCTAATATTTATTGCACTCAATTTATTTTTACAGTATTTCTGTGTCCATTCAGTACTCAACAATTCAGACCCTTCATCATTGCCTACAAGTGCCATCACAGAGCGACTCAAAATCTGCTTGCCTTTTATAATTTTATGACCTAGTTTTTACTGATGCTTAAAAACTTTTATATAAATATTTTGCAGAGTTTTCCCAAAGCAGTAAGTCCATCAAAGATTTTTTTAACCTATTACTTTTCTGAAATAAATATCACATATAAATGGAAACAAATCAATAAAATTAGAATTTCAGTACCATTCAAAATAAAGCAGTGTACAGGTTTAGGGTGCTGATTCTCTTGAAATGGAATAGTTTTTGAAAGAAAGAAGGCCACAAGATGGATAATGGTGGAGTTCATTAGATCTAGGAAGGAAAGCTTTTAGAGGATTAGATCCATTCCTGAAAATTCCTCTTTATTTCCACATCTATCTATAGTGAAGAGTCACTTCAACAGTGAGATGGGTGGTATATAAATTTAATATCTTCATGTATCAAGAGTAGAAAGAATAGGGCTTTTAATCAGGTGATTCCTGATTTGTCCATTGAGACCTCTTCAAGTGAACAATTGTCCTGTAACTACAGAGAAGTTTGTTCAGCATGATTAATTGTTGTGAGGTATCAAGAAATGGGTATCTTGCCAATTCAAGCTGGGTTCCTTTCGAGCTTGAGGGACATGATGGTCCCTTGATCAGACTCATCTGCATGGGAACTGGTGAAGCATAACAAGAAATCAAAATAAATTTTCCCACCACAGTTCATGCTGACGTATAATGGCGGAAGTTATTTTTGCCACCTAGTTTGCAATGCTTCTGCAAAGGGAGATTGCACTGCAGAGCCAGAAAATAGGCTGCTAAAAGTAATCCAAAGCAAGAGCTATTGATCAATACATAATGTTGGGTTTTGTGGGGGGGAAATGTTTTTCTCAGTCAAATGCAGATCACCCAATTAAAAACTGAACCATCCAAGTCGCTTGCAATAGAAAATGCTTTTCGTGCAAGGAGTGATGATGGACACTGGGTTAAATAATTTTAAACTGAGCCTATGAGATTTGGTCCCCAAAATTTAGATTTGGGGATGGAAGCCAGAAGTGATGTAGAAAGGGTGATGGCGCAAAGTGGGGGAGTTGTATGATGAGACTTGGCTTTTCTTTTAATGGGCTTTTTGTTAGGGCTTGTACACTCTGCATAGTTCCCATTTCAAAACAGATGGAAAACTCACTGGTTCAGCACCACAGAAACTTGGAGTCCTCAAAAGCTTGAGTTGTGTGTTGCGTCCTCCAACTTAGATAGGCCTAAAAGGTAGGGAGAAATAACAGTGATTCTGCAATTGGCAGATCCAAAAATGTGGATATCTCTACCTTTTTCTGGAGAAACCCTGCAGGAGAGACCATGATTGTTGACTTTTTCAGAGGCCAGTAGAGGGCACTGCTGCATTTTGTATGTTTGTGTATGTACTTGTTTAATCCAATATTATGCATTTTGAAGCAACTAGAGGTGTTGGCTTTTTACCCTGCAGCAAAGCAATGGGAAAATTACATTTCTTAAGAACCTGCTTGGTGCTGTTTTGGAATATTCAGTATTGTTTCTCCCACAAATCCTGAGCAGTACAGAAAGCAGTTAGAAACACCAAATGAGTCCATTTCTGTTCTCCAGCATGAGGGATGGATAATCCACATGATTGGGTTTCCTGAAGTCCCTTGTACCCAATAAGACTAAGTCTGAGATAGCCATGCCTCTTGCCTGGTCGCACATGCCCAGTTCCGACTTAGTCTTCTACCCAGACAAGGCGTGTTGGTTCTTCGCTCCAGACTCAGGTTTTATTAAACTATTTTTTCTCTCAGTAGGTTATCTCTCCCTTCTCCCTTAAATCCCTCACTGTTTGTTTCTTCATTTCCCCCCCCCCATCCCTCCGTTTCTTTTTACAGTTGTTAATTTTGAGTTTTGTGTTCCTTTTCCCTTGGCAAAGGTATTTAAGGATTGGAGGGGTTTTTGTTTCGTTTTAGCATCCCTGCTTTGTTTTCTCTCTTTGTTGTGGCCTTCGGAGCCTGGGGGTTGTGGAGTCTTTTCTCCGCTCGCCCCAGCTGATTGATGGTTCTCCGCGGAGGCTCGGGGTGCCGGCAAACTCAGCCGAAAGGGAGCCTTTCGTTTAGCTGGCTCTCTCGCTGCTGCAGTAAATTCCTTTTGGAGCGCGATCGCTTTGGGGGAGCGCGGGACTGCTGCTAAAGCCCCAATCTGCAGCGGATCGCCCTAATCTCTCTGGGCGAGTTTCAGTTCATCGTGGTGTAATGGCCGCCGCTTTAGCTGCCTCCTTGCAGGCAGAGCCACGTGGCAGGTGTCGCCATTTTAAAATTGAGGCCTGCACTGCAGGAGAGGCGTAGAACACCAGTTTGATCGCCACGTGTCTGGCGGCCGCCATTTTGTCATCGCCTTATTGCATTCCGACTGCTCAACTCCTTCATCGTTAATTATAGAGGAGTTTCCAAATCAAAACCAAATTTCTGCCAGTGGCTGGTTTTCTGTTCCCCCCCCCTTTTATTCTGGAAAGCAGAAATAGGGATTTCAATACCACGTTGTTCCCAAACACTTATCTTTCACATTGCCCCTGGCAGGTATAGAGTATTCACTTATTTTCATTGGGAGTTGGTCTCCCCTTGCCTATTCTTCACTAGCTCCTAATCATATCATACTGTGCCACAGTGTTTTCTCCACGGGGCTATATACTGGTCTTACCAGTTCTGAAAATTTCTTTTGGGCCTCAACTCCTAGCCTGTTTCTGACCCACCCTCAGACTTGTTCTGAAGGGTCTCAGGCCTCACCTATTCATAGGTCACCAGGTTAATCTTCCAGCCTTCATCAGCCTGGACATCCCACCCTCAGCCTT